ATTAATCCAGATTAGAATTTGAATTTTTACCCTCTTACCGTTGTGAATTATTCTTTGTTCTCCTAAAGAAGAATAGTCAACTATTCGAAAGCACTCGAGTTTTTGGGTCTTATTTTAAATTTATTACACTTTATACGTGATCCTTTGTGCTATCTCTTTCATCAAGATTACCCTTGTGAATGTTAACCATAACCTTTGATTAAATGAGATCGAAGTTTCAATTTTAACATTCAGTTTATCCTTTAATCAAACTTCATCCAGATTGTAGCATTATCCATTAAATCAATAGACATCAATAGTGATCAATGTCTACCAAATTATATGCGAGTTTTCATTATTTTTGCAAATTTTCAGTTAAATTCCTCAATCGTTTTTAGAAATACTGAGAACAAAAATTTCACACACACACATATTATATAGACACGATCAATTACAATACCTCCACTTGTGACGCAAGTAGGGTTAACAAGACATATGCTGATATTTAGCTTGAGAAAACTCATATTGACCACATAGTTCCGTAGTGTCTTTCCATAGGTAGCGATTGGCACAGTTCTTATTCCAAAAACGGAAATAAACGTTCAGTGTTTCTTTCAAAGCCGTACTTTTGTGTTAGAGATTATAACTTAAACTCCAGTATAGGCGTTTTTAAATGTGTAGTTGTTCCTGAGCGACTTAAAAAAAAAGCTAGGATTTTCACTTTCTTGAAGGAACGTTACATGTTTGCTGAATAACATCATGACTTTATTGTAAATCTTCAGCCAGGAGATTAAGGTTCGTCGATATATCAATAGACGTTGGTTGAATTCTATCGTAGACAGATCTTTCGTGATGTCTTTTAGAATGTATTTTCTTGAATGGATAAATGTAGAATATGTACAATGTTGTGATCTTTAGTTTATTATACTGTCACGTGCATATTATGCCGCTGGCATAGTCTTACGTATATTACCTGATTTAATATTCTATAATTGAAAACATTGTATTATGTAGGTTATATGATTTAATAATCTGTAGCTCAACTGTAATTGTATTTAACTAAAATGATAAAAAATTGTTTGTTCTGTTGTTCGTAGGTTATACGATTTAGCAACATTCAGAACAAAGCATGTTTGAATATAGATTACATTATATAAAAATAGGATTACATAAAAAATTGCTTGTATTTGGATATATATTATTCCATAATTTTAAAACATAACGTGTGTATTTTGTTATTTGTATATCAAACATTGTTGTGTTAATTAAATAAGGAAAGCCTAATATACTAGGTCAAACTAAAGGTGTAACTACTTATTATGCCTTATCCGACAAGCACGACTGTTTATCCATAAAGCTGAACTTACACAGCCAATGGTCGCTTGGATTAATTACCTTATTTTTACTGAAGTTGACTGAGTGTTACTCATTCTGATCCATTGATTTGCCTGTCTTCACTCATTATAACTACGGCTTGGCATGGTCAGGTGGTTAGCGTGCTCGCCACGCAATCTGCGGGTAGCGGGTTCGAATCCCCGTCCCATTAAACATGCTCGCCTTTTCAGCCTATGATGTGAAGGTCAATCCCACTATTCGTTGGTAAAAGAGTAGCCCAAGAGTTGGCGGTGGGTGGTGATGACTAGCTGCCTTCCCTCTAGTCTTAGATTACCAAATTATGGACGACTAGCTTAGAGAGTCCTCTTGGAGCTTTACGCCAAACTTGAAACAAACCAAACCACTATAAATCAAGTCAGGATTTTAATGTCTTCCGATAAAAGTTGTGGTCAATTAGAAAAAGGCTGATTAATACTCTGGAAAACATCCATGGTGTACATGTATACAAAGCTGTGGTTAAAACCTGTGATATTTAAAGTTTTATATGTGTGAAAAATTAACATTTTGGGAACTTGCACAGCTTGACAGTTTCCATTGTGTAATTACGATTAATTTAGCTCTTGACGGTCATTATCTTGTCTGTTTACTATCCGAAGTTTTTGAGCTTTTATTGTTGTTGGTGGGGGTTAAAAAGAAAAACATCGGTAAAATTTTTATAAATGAAATTCTGAAAAATGATAGACTAATAATCAATTTAATTCTCTTTTACCTAACATTTTGCTAGCTTATATTAGACTGAATATTTTCAACTTATTCTTGTACATTTTAGTTTCAAGAAGAATGTAATGGGTTTCTTCTGGACTACATCAGCCTCTACCATATGGCCAGTTCAGCTGAAAGAACGAAAACGTGTCCATCTATCTTTTTTTCCTTTTGTCATAAGTGCAGGTTACAAATCCTATGTATAATAATACGCATTCAAACTAAGCATTATTAGAAAGTTATAAATCCAAAGAACATAATAAGATAGTTAGAAGAGAAAACTATATGTTGGTGGTTATGATTTATTCAAAAACTAAGCAACGTATATTTTCCATATAGGAATTTAATTTCTTTACAGATGTATCAAGAACTTCCATTCATTACAGACCAAATACTACACGCTGGATAATATGATCAGGTGCCGATATGTCTCAGCTGTAGTTTTGTTGAAAAAGTATTGAATTTGAATACTTAAAGTTCCTGCAAGTTTTACTCTTCCAGCTTAAGAATACTTCGATCGATACTCCTAAGGACATCGTACGCGGTCTCTCAAGAATTTTATTTATCTAATTACACGTCTTTATAACGTGTAAAATCTAAAAATAATATGTTCATGAACCGGAACTTATACGACATCCATGTGAAAATCCACGTATGAAATACCATAGGTGTGATATGAGAAATGTTAAAAAAAGTATTATTATATTCTGACTAGGAATTTATGAAACAACAGTGTGTTCATGATATTTACAAGAAATTCACATGTTCTTCTAGACTATTAATAACACTTGGCTGTTGGAAGTTTAGTTTCACTAACTCATATCAATGGCTACATGCTAGAATCGCGCGTTTTTTATAGTTCCTGAAACTTGTCTTGTTTGTGCTCTATTCATTCATTTATCTGTTTTATTTTAAGGTTTTCAACATTAGCATCATCTATGTCACTCGTATTTAATTGCTAGACTTGCGAAACTTACTTGTTTGTCTATTATTTATCAATAAAAACTCGAGATTTTCCATTGTAAGTATTGTCAGTTGGAATAAACTCAATGTATATTTACGTATACTCAAGGTTTACCCATTGCGCATGTTGATAATTGCTAGAAACATGAGGTGTTTATCCAATACATATTTATTAATTTCTACCAACTCAATGCTTATTCAAAGAGTTCGAATTAATCATTAGGACAAATTTTAGAATTACGTACAGTGGAAATTGTAGGACTATTTTATGTATTTATTAATCATTGAAAAAAGTACGAGTTTTGTGTACAGCACGTATTATCAATTACTACAAACTCACATATACGTGTCCTGTTTAACTCAAGAATTTCCGTCGTTTATCTTGTGTTCATGTTAATAATTGCCAGAAACCCAAACTTTGGTCGAAGTTGTGTTTGTAGTTAATTTCATGTTTATTGGTCGAATGTTAGAAGTCTAAAACTGTCAGTGTATGTTAACAGATTCTATATTTTCATGTTTTAAATTGACTCCACAGTATAAGGGTTATACAGCTTAGAAAGACAGTCATTATAATGGTAATAAGTGAGATATTTTACAAAAAAACAGCGAACTGACTTAGTATTCCAGTTTACACAAAGCATTGGCAACTCAATTACGTGACAAATTTATACAGGCAAATTGATTAGACACTCTGTTCAAATAAGAGGTTGCTCTGAGGTTTTCGACGTAACTAAAGTGATTTTGTTATGGGTGAGATACATCACATGTAATGTGAAACATATTAAGGTACTATGGCACGATGAGAGAGAGAGAGAGTTATCTGAAAATACTCTAGATTCATGAGAGAGAGATAGCTAACATTATTTGAGAAGAGCTACCTGCAAGTACTACAAGTTCTTACTTTGCATCCTTCGTGACATTCTTTGTCACTGAATTAAACTGGATAAGCTAATAAACGATTAACTAATTTACTTTGAACAGTGCTGTTACATTACAATGAAAGGAAAAAACAGCGCGAAATAATATCATTGTGAAAGAAGAGAAAATGATCCAAGTTACAGGAACGAATTATTAACAGAAACAAACAAAAAAATTCACTGTTACTAAATCCCAACATTAACAAATGCTAGTCAATATAATACGATATTTATAAATTTCCAAGAGATTTTAAACTACAGCTACGGTATATAAGTACTCTATATACAACACTTACAGTTTAAAAGTTACTTTAAAACTACTGGGAAAGAAGAAGAAAATCGCAGATAAATCATCAATAACAAATTATATGCATTTAAAGTTTTATAAAAACTTTCGATGAAACTCTGAACTTGCCTTGAAGAAAAATGCGTTTTAAAGATATTCAAATATAGTTTATCACGAGGTCTGGTTCAGAGTAGACTTGAATATTTGTAAGCGTAATTTGAAGTTATTTCGCTCCACGATTTTATTTGTATACTTATTTTATTCCATTCATCTTATGTAACCACTAAGGTATAGTTTTTAACTTTATATATGTAAGGCAGTAGAATATTATTAAATTCACCAAGGTACTCACTATATCTGACTGTTATAAGATCAGAGAAAATTACATTTTATTCATCAGTGGGATTAAGTAAAATCACCTATAGTGATAAACAGGACCATATTTTACTCATCTATGGGGTAAAATAAGACTATATTTTTTAACTACGACTTAAATCAACTTTCTGTTTAACTAGTTGGTAGAGTAAAACTCTACGTTCAATGACGTACTCAGCTAAAACCCTGTCCCTCTTTCGATAGCATTACTGGAGATTTTTAAGTTAACTTAAAGTCTGATTATTCTGTTTCTAGTAAGTCAAAATTATTTGATACTTGTAATATAAAATAATACATCTTTAGGTGACATTTTGCTATGAATATAATATGTCAAAAGTCTTGCATTGGACGCTTTCCTTAGGTTTAAACTGTAAGATACTTACCCAATTGAATAACTTTCGGTAGAGCCTTCGTACCGAGAAGAGAAGTTATCAATACCGTCAACATGACCGCCCGCTTAGCACTCATGTTAGTTGGGACAATTCAGACACAAGGCTGTGATATATAAGGATAAAACTGCTTTTACTTTAGACTTAGAGGCTCACTATAATCTATTGTTTAGAAGTTGTATTTGGTTTCTGAAGTTCATCCTAGTTAATTTTTATTACGTCAGTAAAACTACGTAAACATATAAGGTATTATTAAACGAAATTATTTTCTAAATAACAGCGGAACAATAATATTTCCGCACACGTGAGCTTCTTGTTTCAACTGCACGAGAAACGAACCACAGGACAACACAGCAGTCATACGCAGAACGCGCGGAAGCTGTAACTGTAACTGGGATTCGTGCAGCCATCAGAAGGAAAAAAAAAACAAAAAACAAACAAACAACGAATAGCAATAGGCTGGGTTACTTCCATTATAGTGACTGTATAAGCCAGAGAGCATTATTGTTTGGAAGATATCAGTATAAGAAAATTAATATTTCTCAATGACATAAGGCTGAAAAAGCTTTCACGGTTGTCAGATTATTACGATATTTTCATTTTTCATTTATCAAATTAGTGAAACAGATTTTCTGTTCAAGAATCAAATTTGTCCTGAAACTTGATTTTGAAACTGTTATATCTTTATTTCAAGTTTAATGGTTAAAGATCGTTTGATGCTTATGCTGAAAACATGCAATTCGTTACCATGGTAACGCAGTGGTTGTGCCCCTATGTCTGCAGTGGCTTAATTTCAGTCCTTTAGATACTCAGCCGTTTGGGATCGATTTGAAAGGACAGTAATCATTCGGAGTCCTCAGAAAATGATATGCAAGTTACAAACTGCCCACGTGCTTTTAATTATACCAAATGAAATACAGTTTGAAAATTTTGTATTGAAAAATCATTAGAGTAAATTTACTTATTCTTTTTCGCCAACTTTCTAAGTACTTTGTAAAACCGTGATTTTCATTAAGCGTCACTATAGAAACATATTAGGGTGAAGCTAAGCTTGCATTCGGTTGTAAAGACTTATCCACCAGTCGGAATTCGAAAATAATATTCATGAACATCCAGCTAGAAATGAAGAGAATGTAAAAATTCTTATCCAGAGCAGACATCGTAAAAGAATTCATTCAATAAACGAGTGAGACGCGTATAGCTTTTTTTTATTCACAAAATAATCGTTAAAGAAACAACACAACATAACGACATTTTCGAACACTAATCCTAGCTTTGTATTAAGAATACATGGCAGTTCATACTTTTGTTTTTGTATTTTAGGCCCTCTAAAACTCATTTCGTAACTCAGTACAAATAATTCCTGTCTAAATATCTATAAGTCGAACAAGTTAACCTTCTGTAATATCAACAAAGTTGAAAAGGGATCAAAAACAAGCAGAACATCTTTACATCAGCTTGGAGGAAATAGTCTCAATTTTTAAATCCAGAAACACGTATATGTCTCATATAAATGGAGTATGAACACTGTAAGTAACGCATATATATAAAAGTACGTTTAGGAACTCGATAGATCTTTATAGAAACTTTTTAAAAAGTTTTGATCGATATAAATTAATAATGACGCATGGTTGGTTTTGAGATACAATTAAGTACTTTACACATGCTTAGACTACGTTTCATTAGGTTGTTGCATGAATTATCACATCAAATTACTTCCTGTAGTGTTTCAACTTTCTTTTGAGAGAGAGAGAGCAGCATAAGCTTCTTGAGCTCTACCAGTTAAAACACTTTGTAATAATAATGACCATTTTTTGGTGGGCCATTCCATGGTTTTGGCAAACTTCTCAAAATGTTGGAAATATTTATCAACCTCGTTTTTCCTTAAATGGTGACACTTTAACATATCGATTAAGCTCAAAGTTTCCATTTTGCCTTGGTCTATCGGAGTTGGGTCTAATTTCAATTTCTTTCAGGCTAATTTCTTTTTCGGCTTCAATGCGAACTTGCTCTTTCTCTTTCTCGGCTTCGATATGAGCTTGTTCAAGCTCGAGTTGTTTGAGTTTTAGCTGGATCTCTAATTTATCTTTATCACTCAACCCAGATTGGCTAGTAAGGACACTGGAGTATTCCTCTAATGCTTCCTCAGGCAACAAATCATCATCGACTAGTATTTCGATAATACGCTTTTTTAGTTAATTTTTTCTCATTTAACTTTTAACTTCTAGTTCTAAAACTTTGACACTTTCGAGCAATTCATTTTTGTTATATCTTTCTAGTTGTTCGAGGAAGGGTGATTCAAGAAAATCTTGATAATCAGACATGATCAAATCTTGTTGGCACTGACAGATATAAATTGAAACGTGAAAACTTTAATTTTACTAAAAACTGTTCATTATGTCATACTTAAGACTTATATAATTTAGATGGCATTAACGTTATTTGGCTTACACTTAGTACATGAAAATTATTCTACAAATGTTCTAGTGGGATGAAATTCAGGACCTATCACCTCTCTCCAGAATAAAGAGGGTGCCACTGAAAACTTTGTCAGGAGCTCATGGGGCAAATTCTATAAATATTCAGAGATGGCCTTACTAAAGTCAAAAGAGTTGGAATCATCCATACCCTGTGCACTAACTCAGTTAATTCACCATATTTTTAACTACTACTTTGTAAAACAAATGAGTATCCAACACACTTAAAAGGTGTATCATTGACGTGTAAGTGTAGTTTAATTAATATTGTTTAATCAAACCTAGACTGAGCGATTGAATCAATTACCTATGAACAGGGATTACATCGATAATGTCACGCAAACCAATTGGTTAATCGAAATTACGATTAAGTCGATTAATCACAATTAGTTTTCGATTATTCCAACAACTGATTAATCAAATTACGATTAAATAGATTGTCACGAAAATAATCAACTAATCGAAATTAGGGTGTTCGATTATCAGTATATTTAATTATTCAAACTATCCATGAAATCGAAATATTACAATCAAACTTACTCGCTTTTGTATTTATTATGGAAAGCAACTAAGGCTTTTTGCCATTGTTACTAATTTTGAATTGCTGACTAGAAGGCTAACAACTGGCGGGTATCACTCGCTACAAACTTTTTGGTATTTTTATTTGTTGTTGTTTAACTGCTAACTAGAGGGAAGGCAACTGGCCAACCTTTGTTTGTCTGTTGTTATTGTTGAACTGTTGACTGGAGATAAGGAAACTATCTAGCAGCACCCGATGCCAACCATTTTGTTTTTTACTTTTGATTTTAGGTACCATGATTTGAAGAACACTATACTAATTGATTAATTAATATAATCGATTAATGGAATCATAGATTAATCGATTACCATTATTTATAACACTTAATACATTGGTAAAAATATTGTTGTAAATATAAGGTATGAAAACTTTCGACTACAATAATATGTAATATTGTTGTGTTCCGCTGTCTACATCTTTTTCGTTAATGTTCTTCTTCCGTTATAAAAACAAAACTCAAGAAAAAGATAGCTAGCTCTATTGGCTGTCTATAAACTCAGCAACTCACTAATAAATATATCTGAAAACCGGGTTTCGATATCAGACAAACAAACATAAGTTTATAAATTATTATAAAAGTTCGTTGAAATTAATTAAACTTAATGATGCCGCATAATAATACACCCATAACGAATATCCCAGAGGAAAATTAACATTATAAGATCATATAATGCAATAATGAGTATGAAGTCAAATCAGCACCAATTTTGCAAGTTTATGGATTGTTTCAACTTTATGTTATTTTTTTGATATTTACAGACAAATTGGTCATAAACTCCATACAGAGTGGCTGCACAAGGATAATTTTAAGATTCGAAAGCTATACACACGCACACACACACACACACACGCACATGTCTGTTCATGTAAAATATGGCATTTAACCAATTTTATCATATCATACAAACTTTAAAAAAATGTACTTGTACCAGTTTTATTATTTTGCCTTAAGTTTCAATACTCCACTGCTATTCACGCCATTCCGAATTTTAAAGTACATGCCTTTTAGTCGGGTTGACTCCATGATATAATATGACAAGGTATTTACTACTAGTAGTAATACTAATGATGATAAAGGCCACAACAGACTCGCATGCACTGAGAGTCGAGGTTTCGACCAACACATTCTTTGGAGTCTTATGTCGTTGTATAATGAACCGTTTTTACAAATGATACAGACAGCTGGGAGCGTTGGGAACAGAGACTGACCCAGAAGAGCGGACCTTCTTCCTTGGAGATGGTGATGTTGATGCATGTCTTCTTCACCAAGCAAGTACTCCTGTGAACAATTGGCAAACAATTTCCTCACTCAATTCGGGAGAGCCAATGAATCGACTATAATAAGTAGGATGATATCCTACGTCTAAAAAAATGTCAATGAACTCCACGGACACGAACTGTATGTATATTAGAAATTGCGATGCCATGGCAATCACCGTTTAAAGTAAGCTATTTCCATAAACAGTTTCTATCCTTTTCCCACTAGATGGGTGTAAATACTTTACTACATCTTTTGTGACCGATTGGTGGCACTTACAACATCGCAATTTAGGTTTCCTTGGTGGATTTTTTTTAGCTCTCAGGTGATTAATACTCGCTTATTGGTTTATTCTGTGTGTTTTACTGCGACAGAACGAATTCGTACGTAACTCGCACACCAACATCCAATCTACATAGCACCGATCGAGTGCAAAGGTTTTATCACGAAAACAAAAGTAATGGTGGATTAGAGGAGTATAACTTTTAGTATAAAGTATGAAAAGACGTTATCAATATATTTCCATCATTACTTTTTAAGCCCTCGGAACAGGATAGAAAGATTAGTGGTTTGAGCTGATGGCTTAATTCATCTGCGTTGATAACACATGACAATGTGACGTGTTAAGTAAATATTATTATAATACCTCAATAAAACTGTGATATCAACTCATATCACGTCCCCCTCTCCCTCTATTTATGAGAATATTAACAGTAAAAGTTTCTAAAGAAAAAAAAAAGTGGTGTATTTAGT